GGCCATCCAGCCAGTTTTTAACCCCACTTAGACTGCGCCTGTCTAGGCCATGAGCCACCAGCTTTCTTAGGAGAGTGCTATGGGAGTCGGTGTCAAAGGCTTCACTGAAGTCCAGGCAGATGACATCCACAGCCTTTCCCTCATCGACTAAGCGGGTCACCTGGTCATAGAAGGAGATCAGGTTTGTCAAGCAGGACCTGACCTTCATGAACCCATGCTGGCTGGGCCCGATCCCCCAATTGTCCTGCACATGCCATGGAGTGCCCTCAAGATGAACTGCTCCATAATCTTTCCTGTTACCGAGATCAGGCTGACAGGCCTGTAGTTCCCCAGATCCTCCTTCTGGCCTTTCTTGTAGATGGGCATCACATTGGCAAGCCTCCAGTCATCTGGGACCTCCCCTGTTAACCAGGACTGCTGATAAATGATAAACAGAGTGGTTTGGCCAGTTCCTTTGCTAGCTCCGTCAGTACTTTTGGGTGGATCCCATCTGGCCCCATAGACTTGTGAGTGTCCAGGTCATGTAGCAGGTCATTAACTGCTTCCTCCTGAATTATGGGGGGTTTATTCTGCTCTCCATCCCTGTCTTCTGGCTCAGGGGTCTGATTACCTTGAGGATAACTGGTTTGACTATTAAAGACTGAAGCAAAGAAGGCATTGAGTACCTCAGCCATTTCCTCATCCTCGGTGACAATGTTCCCCCCCTGCATCCAATAGAACATGGAAATTCTCCTTGGCTGTCTTTTTGTTGTTGATATATTTGTAAAAGCATTTCTTGTTCTCTCTTATGACAGTGGCCAGATTTCTAGCTGGGCTTTTGCCTTTCTAATTTTCTCTCTGCATGACCTAAAAAGATCCCTGTACTTTTCTTGAGTTGCCTGCCCCTTCTTCCAGAAGTGGTAAACTCTGCTTTCTTTCCTGAGTTCTAGCAGAAGCTCCCTGTTCAGCCAGGCCGGTTGTCTTCCCCTCTGGTTTGTCATACAGCACATGGGGACAGCCTGCTCCTGTGCCTTTAAGACTTCCTTCTTGAAGAATGTCCAGCCTTCCTGGACCCCTTTGCCTTTCAGGACTGTCTCCCAAGGGACTTTCTTGACTAGCGTTCTGAACAGGCCAAAGTCAGCCCCCCCCAGAAGTCCATGGTAGTGGTTTTGCTGATCCCCTCCTTACTTCACCAAGAATTGAGAACTCTGTCATTTCGTGGTCGCTAAGCCCAAGACGGCCTCTGACCACCACATCTCCTCTGTTTGTAAACAGCAGGTCAAGCGAGGCACCTCCCCTGGTAGGCTCACTCACCAGCTGTGTCAGGAAGTTCTCTTCCACACACTCCAGGAGCCTCCTGGACCATTTCCTCTCTGCTGTGTTGTATTTCCAGCAGACATCCGGTAAGTTGAAATCCCCCACAAGGACAAGGGCTAATGATTGAGAGACTTCTACCAGTTGCTTGTAGAATGCCTCATCTGCCTCTTCCTCCTGCTTGGGTGGTCTATGACAGACTCCCAGCAGGATATCTGCCTCGTTGGCCTTTCCCCTCATCCATAAGCACTCAACCTTGTCATCGCAATCATTGAGCTCTACACAATCAAAACACTCCCTAACATACAAAGCCACCCCACCACCTCTCCTTCCTTACCTGTCCTTCTGAAGTGCTTGTAGCCATCCGTTTTAGCACCGCAGTCAGGAGAGTCATCCCATCATGTTTGTGTGATGGCGACTAAGTCACAGCTGTCCTGCACAATGGCTTCCAGCTCCTCCTGCTTGTTGCTCATGCTGTGTGCATTGGTGTAGATGCACTTGAGCTGAGCTATCGATTTCACCCCCAACATTGGCATGCCAGACCTGGGCTCATCTCTAGCGGGCCTGGTTTTATCCCCTTCCCCCTTCGAACCTCGTTTAAAGCCTTCTCGATGAGCCCAGCCAACTCATATGTGAGAATCCTTTTCCCCCTTTGAGAAAGTTGAACTCCATCTGTTGCCAGCAGGCCCGGTGCCGTGTAAACCTCCCCATGACCATAAAAAACAAAATTCCACTGATAGCACCAGCCTCAGAGCCACGTGTTTATCAGGTGCGTTTTCCTGTTCCTTTCAGTATTCTTCCCTGCCACTTGGATTAAAATTATACATTAAGAATTTTCGTACTTTAAAACCATTGTGTTTTCCAGTTTAAACAACAAAATAAAGTCAGGACAGCTGAATAGTATAATTAAGCATGGTAGAAATGTATACTAAAGAGACTGATGGCAGGAGAAATACTGTCCCCTTACAATAAACCAGTGTCCTGTGTTTCATACTGCTGCCCCTTGTTTCGAGTCAAGAAATACGGTATTACTGTGTCCTTGCATTGATTAACGACTGAGCATTAAGGCTTCTCTGGCCAAAGGAGGTTAACATACAGTATCTGGGTATGTGGTTCTTACTGAATATCAGTAGGACCTGACTTCGGTACTGTTTTCCAGTGTTGCTCAATGCATTAAAGCTACTTCACGGGGTGAGATTAGTTTGTACTGAACCATTGCCTAACAGCCCTGTTCACATCACCCGAATGGCTCTGGCTTTCTCCAGTACCTCTTCTCACCTCGCATTCACCATTCCTGGTTCGATCTCCGAGGTGCTCTGAGAAACCACCCAAAATTGCCCTGAGGAAGTAAGTGGGGGAAAAAAGGAGGATTATTCCCTGCATGTGTTCCCTTGTTCCTGGTTGATCTTGGTGGTTTACTCTCCAAGCCATCTCCTTTCTCCTGTTGAATTTGTGTGAAGTAGCTTCTCTCATGGTTTTATATTGCCTTTTGAGACACTTGAAAGAATGGTTTTTAAATTGAGGGGACTGGCAAAGCCTTGCTTGGTGGGGGTGAAGAAGTGTCCAGTTGGGCTTTGTCAGAAAGCAGAGGTTTCCATGAAGCTGAACTTACAAGTGCTTCTGGTATACCAAACTGGTTTTTAATTGTGGTGGGGGAACAGTAGAAATAGAATCTCTGTGTCTGCTGAGCCTCAGATGTTCTCTACGTTTGTGTTACCAGAAACACGTTAGAATATTCTGTGTCTGAGTTACTTCTGTCATGTTGAAGTTCAGCTTGTGTTTTCACTCTTAAATGCTAGGGGGGCTCTTGTAGCTTCTTGCTTACAGCCACACAGCAGGCCCTTGTTTGTCCTGTGCACTGTGTGAATGCTTTTTAACCTTGTCACCTTGTTATGAAGGATTGTACAGAGCCTCTGCTGCATCATTATTGGCACCTGCAGCAACAAGCTTTTCCAGCACTTTTTTTGACTTCAACTGAACAAACTCTGAAATGATTGTCCTTAGCCTGTCTGCCAGCTGAGCCCGTAATCGACAAGCTGGAGGTGCTTTTGTGCAAGCAGGATAGCAGCTGGTTTTGCTTATACTTTTACCTTGGCAGGACATTTTCCATACCCACTGCCAAAAATATGTAGCATCTGGCTTTTTTCAGCCTGCCCAACTTGAGTTTCTGGCTTGACAGACAATTTCTTGCTGCACTGATTTGTAGAGGCTACGCTTGGAAAGCACTGAAGTCTAGTAGCATGTGTACGTGCATACTGAGGCTATACCAACTAATCTCTGTAGCTGTATTATTTACAATAATACTGTAAATATGTCCTGTACAGATATCTACTAAAGAAGGTCGCAGAAAATGGTTACTATCAAACAGTTTTTAGCAACAAGCTATAAATACATATGTAACTGAGTGGAGCTAATGGATTTCATTTAATAAATGCTGACACTTTTAATTGCTACTTTGCACAAGGAAAGTACCTCTACAGAGATCTTTACTGGGGGAAAATATATAACAAAGAGCTAGCCTGAATGAAACAGACTGTTAACTATAAACATGTTTTAGTCCACTGTGAAATTTGAGTTTGCCTTTTCACAAAAGTGAAAGCCTACAGCTTTTCCCCGTTAGATTGGAATCTGCTTTTCCCCTTCGTTTTATTACATGGCTTCTTGTCTGATTTTTTTTAAAAAAAGAGATACAGCCCCTTTCCTTAGTGGAGAGGGTAGCCTATATATGCCCATGAATTTCTAAATTTTCTTCAAGTTCCTATGTGTCAGTATCTCAAGCTGTCTGGAGGCTGCAGTACTTCTGTGGTGGTGAGTACACCATAGTCGTGCAAAGGGCAACTCCCCCTCCTCGTGTTTCTGGTCTGTCCTTCCTAAAGAGTCTGTATCCCCCCACTGCAGCACTCCAGTCATGTGAGCCGTCCACCACATCTCTGGGAACCCACGATCCTACCCCTGCAGCTGCACACACATCTCTTAATTCCTTGTGTTTACGCCCCGTGCTGCGTGCCTTTGTGTGCAGGCATTTCAGAGAGACTTCCCTGCTTACATGCAAATACTTGAGGTGACCCCACTTGAGCTCCGTTTTGTTAATTTTGTGTTCCTCGTTGTTCACATCACCCCAGGCACTTCACTTGTCAGCCCTGTCCATCGCTCCCTCAGAGCTGCAGTAACTTTCTCCCTCCCTCATCGTTCCTGGTTTTGTTCTTCAGGTGGAATTCCAAACAATAATTCATGTCTCATTGTAAATACTTGGAAGCAGCCTCTTGCTCAGAGACCACTTTGAAGGTTTGGTTTGGTTTTCAACAGTCTTTTGCAGTTCTCTTATTATTGTAATGAGGGACTACGTGGTTGACCCACTTCTCTTCTCGGCCTGATGGAATTCAGAACATTATGGGAAGGTCTTTCTAGTTATAGGAGTTACCTCGGGATCGAGCTGGATGCTTGTCATTTCCCAAGTCTGGGAGTGGGAAGCAAAAACCAGTGAAACAGATTTTCCCAGATGTAAACTGTGGTTGTATTTATATCTTACAGTGATACCTTGGTTCATGTATGACTGATCTAGACCTACTTTAAAGCAAGAATATTCTTATAGGTGGCAAACACGAACTGTTGCAGATCCTTCTTCTCAATCGGTGTGAGTTTTCGCATGTATTACTGTGTGCATGAACATACAGCTGTACGTATTCATACTAGTCTTGTTCTCACAGACCACGCTCACGTGGGGACCCTACTTGTGGTTTCATATGCTGCGAGTTGCCACATCAACTTTATCAGGTATTGCTTTATTTAATTCTTGAGTAAACCAGTAATGGAATATTGAAAGTTGCTTTGACAGACTGTAAATCATCTTTGTGAGCTACTGGACATTTTTTCAAAAGTAGGAGTGAACCTGTATTTTAATCTGTAGAGACATACTCTCTTGCCTTAGGCACTTTTTACCTTTCAATCAGCAACTCTTAAATGCAAGAATGAACAGAAAATATCCTTTCGCTGAACACTTTTTTCCCCCTTTTTCTCCATATGGAGATAGGGTGGTGTTGGCAAGGGAGTGCATCAGCTTTCTATTAGGTTTTGTATGGAACTATTTTGTGTGACATTATCTGAAAAGAATGTGGTTTGGAGTAACTAAACTGACAGTTTTTATGAAGAAGACAACTAGAAGTTATCCCAAGAACACATCTAGCCTTGTGCTTTACAACAGACTTCTGAGGTTACAAAATAAACAAAAATAAGACTATTGTCAAGACTGTTAAACTCACTGCATAGAAGTTTATTTGACCTGTGGACCTCATAAAATTTTGCGAGGTTTTAAAAATGCTTGCCCTAGCCTGTGTTCTTCCCAAGGTGAAAAGTATCTTTATTGGTTTTTTGACAAATATTGTAGAGTATCTGTCATTGTACACTGAATTTTGAGTATTTTTTAAAACTATTGGCAGTCTATTCTATTAACTAACCTATCCTTATTTTTAGAAACAGTTTTTCCCTAATGTACAGTGTAATTCTATTCCTCGTCATATCTGTTCTTCATACACAAAGGTAGATATGGCTTCCCTTTCTTCAGAAGTTCTTTATGAATGTGAAGATTAGTACTTCTTTCTTCCCACTTCAGTTTTGCCTCTTACATTTGTAATTTCACCTGGTCTTTTGCACAGAGCTCTGGATGCCAGGATACCTACAAAATTGGTCATTGTGAATATTCACTGAAGCAGTCAATTGCTAACTTCTGACTTGTTTTCCCTGAAGATAACTAGCTCATTTGTATCTTTAGGGCAGATTTGCAATTTGAAGTGCAATATATTTGACTTCTTGCTTGCCTTTACTCAAGAACCAGTGGCGTAGCCTTCACCATGACTGACACAAGCCCCTCTGTTCCACACTTCTGGCTGTGCAGTACCACTGTTTTAGCAAAGCAGTGCTGCATGTAGCCTCCAGCTTGAAAGCTGAGACAGCTGAAACCTAAATATTTTATTAATCCATTAGTATGCAACACAGAACATTGCTAAAACTGCTACTGACTTGAAGTATGCGTAAGTCATAAATAACTCTCTAGTTTGTTGGTACCATTAGGCTGAAGTACTGGCTCAGTTGGTAGCTATGTGTTTTTGTCTAACCTTTAATTTTCAGTTCAGGTTCAGTTAAAGGCTTATCCTTTAACTGATCCTCGAGCAAAACAAACCTAGAGTCAAAGCTGAAATTGGTAGAATTCAAACAAACACTAGCACCATCTAGATTTTCATTAATTTCTGTGTTCTCCTTTGTTCGTTCTTTATCTTAAAGAACAATTATTAGTATATTGATCTAATAATTACATATAAGTAGGTCAGCCTAGCAGATTCTGGTTTTGTTGTTTGAGTGAAGTAGGACTATGGAAAACCATTCAGGAAAAATGGTGATACCTTTAAAAATAAAGCTGTGCTTAAGAATTTTCTTCTAGATACTAATTGTACGTAAACCTCTGTTTTTTAGTGTGTGACTTCCTTGGGGAAAAGATTGCATCTGTTCTGGGGATAAGCACCCCAAAATACCAGTATGCCATTGATGAGTATTACAGAATGAAGAGAGAGGTATGTGTGTGTGAGAGAGAGTTCTTGCACTCCTTTTCTCCCAATTTGCCTTCCCTGCTATTTTAAAAAATGAAATTTGTATTCCAGCATTAAAATGAAGTTGTAGAACCTCTATTTCAGCTTGCCTTCAGTTTTCATTTGCAACATGATTAACGCTTGCTTATCCGTCAGCTCATCAGCCGTAGAACTGGCTGGGTCCTGACCACCGCTCTGTTTCTCTTGTACAATGCACTTTAAAGTCACAGCGTGAGAAAGTTGGCTGGAGGAGTCGCTGGGCGCTGTGCAGAGGTGGCTCCTAGGAGCGTGCTTTCCAACTCTAAAACTTGTTCAACGAAGTGTCAAGGGTAAACTGAACATGATGTTACCATTTGTTCTAAACCATAACTGGAAATGACTGATAGGCAGCCAGTGCGTTATGCAAAAAACCCCTTGATCTTCATTCGGCAGAGAAGAGAAACACACTTAAGGGTTTGCTACTTATTTTGTATTTTTGATAGGTCTTTATTATTAAGAGCTGAAAAAGCTTTAGAGAAGGTAGACCTATCACTTACTATTGACTGAAACCTGCTTATCTAGGCATGTGACATTTTTTTCTGTGCTTAACAGGGTTTAATCCTTCACTTTTCATGATTACTTTTTTTTTCCATAATGGGAATCCAGGAATAACCTCATCTTACGATCAACTAGTGACTGTTTTGTGGTGGAACAAATGTCCTTGCCTTGTAATAGGAACTGGATTGCTCTTATGGAAAGACTTAGAGTGAATGTAAGTTAAGTGGTAAATAGCAGCTTACGAATCCGGTTATCTATTTTTAGGAGGAAGAGGAGGAACAGGAAAACAAGATGTCAGAAGAAGCAGAAAGACGGCATCAGGAACAGCAGAACAAGCCACAAGCTGAAGCTCCTGTCCAGACAGACCAGCCTGAAGCAACAGCATGCACTTCATTTGTGAATGTAAACTTTGAAAATGAGGGAGATGGCCAGTCTGTTGGGGAAGATAAACAAGAGGTAGTTCCTGTCCCTCCTTAAGTGTAAAGCTCTGTATAATGTAGGAAATAGGAAGTGTCAGATGTCACAATCTGGCTATAAGAACCAGGAAAAATAGGATTATACTTGTTCAGTGAAATACAACTTTTAGCATTCTTATTGATCAGGAGAGAGCTAGGTGGTGTCTGTTCAGTCTGTCTGCCTAATAAAGGCTGAGGCATGCTGCCAAATTGGCACTTCAGTCAAAATTAAAGTTGCACTACAAACATTTGGTCTAAAATTGAGTGTGTGAGCTAATTTCTGTGTAAAGCAAGTAAAAATGTCTTTTCTTTGAATTGCTGTGTCTAACACCTGTGGATTGCAGATGCAGTGCTGTTTCCTACTTCTAAACACCTATTTCTGATTTGCACATTGTTTGCAACTTGGCTCTCTATGAATAGATTAATAGGAACCAATATCCTGTAACTCACAAGTCAGTATAATAGTGTCTCATTTCCCCTATTTATTGTCACTGTTGTATGCATGTATTTTTTTTCTGGTGTTGTTTAACACAAGAGATAATGTTAGATTTAATGTTAATTAGATTTAAGGGTCCACTGACTTTTTTTTTTAAATAAATTAAAAAAAAAGAAAAACAGTTAAAGGAGGCTGTAAACACCCTTAAGAACTTATTAACAAATACCAGTACTCTTGGAGGCTAATAGTGCTCAGCTGCTTCACCCAGTGCTGTAACAGTACAGAACTAGGATCGGTGTAAGATGTTCTCAGGCCAAGTCCAAGAATTGAGGCCCACCTGCTTGAATACTTTACATGCTCTGAATCGCCCTGGGAATAAACTATGAAGTCTTGCTAAATTGTCCTGAATGCACTGGACACTGTGTATGGTGCCCGTCTAGAACTATGAGAACTTTTCTGGCCACAGATTACCTGTCAGGGTACCTGATTAACTAAACAGACCATTTAAATTACCAGTAAGGGATGTGCCGTTGCAGATGTCCCCCCCACTTTAGCACAGAATACATAAATAACTAGCAATCACAAAACCAAACTTCTGATTCTTCCTTTCTCTTAAATAAACAAAACGCTTTGTTGCAATACTGCAACAACAACAATTTTTACTTTTGTCTGAGCGAAACGCAGGTAGCTCCAGAGCTTTTAAGTAGCACCAAATACCAATTTACTATTGTACTGCAATGACTGTCGTTCTACCTGTAGCTTGCAAGAGGTAGATGATTTACTTTGGGACAATCAGATGTCAGTGCCCCAGTCACTTACCATCGAGAACCGCTGTAGATGAAGGAGCAGAGATCCTGCACTAGTTACCATGTGAAACATTACTCCTCAAGATTTCTTAAAATAATTTGTAAGAAAGAGTCTTCAGTGAAATTTTGTGATGGTATCATCAGATGTCCCTGGCCTTGGTCCTGCCACCAACTAACTAAGGAGCCTGATGTAGTAGCAGAGGCCAGGTAACTTGGCTGTTAGTTTCCAGAGTTCTGTTACGTATTTTGAACAACCCCCTGCCTGAACTAGTGTCCTACAAGAGCACAAATTCCTTCTTCTCTGTCTGCTCTTGGCATTCCAGCACTACAGAAAATCTTGAGGAGGATTCAATCACCAGCTCTAGTCCATCTGTTTTGATACTCAGTTCTTTGCCTCTTTTTGAATTCTAAGACAGAGGGTGCCAACAGCTGTGTAAAAATCATTCCTTAGCCCTGAACATCTCCACAGGAGAGCTTGCTTCAACAGCTGGGGGATACACAGAAAAACAGCTTGTTGGGAGTCCTTACACTGTCAAGGATAGATAGACTCACAGAGCTCAAGAGTAAACCTTTACAGCTGATGGATGCTTTTCATTTCTGCTAAGAAATTTATGTCAGTTACATTGATTTTTTTTCCTCCCTCTTGTATCTGTTGCATCAGAAACGCTCTCACTGCCTTGGGTTTAAACTTCTTTGTATAAAATACTGTATTAATCACTGTGCCTTAACTTAATCCTTCCTTCATTTTTTTGCGAGCTGTATGAAAGTGGTTACTTTCATAATGGTTTAATTTTTCTGTAAATGCATTAATTGGTTATTTTATATTTAATATAATTTTTGAACTGGAAGTTGGCTATGGCTTTTCCTTTAAAAGGGTGCGGTCTTTGAAACTATGCCTGCACACAGGAACCAGTGCCTGTTCATTGTTTCCCATTGAGTCACACATCCTGGTGGAATATTCAAACACTGAAATTCAAGATACTGTACTGCCCTCACCCCTTCCTTACAATCTCATGTAGTACTTGTAAGCATACTCAGTGTGTTCAGCACTACCTCAAAGTAATAAATAATGAGGATTGCAACCACCTCTGGCCTGGAACTATTGTAATTTTATCTGAAAGTTTAAACACTTCTACAGCTTTGAAGAGAGTTTCACTGCTTTAACCACTGCTGTAGCTCAGCTGGACAGCTAAATGACATAAAATCCTTGCACAGGAGGTTAAGTTGGTGAAAGCCTCTGTACAGCTGTTTGGATTAGTTTTAACTGGACCTAAAGCTAGTGCAGTTTTATTTCTGTTAATGAACCTCCTAAGAAGTAGGTGACTATTCAGTCAGTTCAATAGTTACTTATTCTTTCTGTTAGACACTTACAGCTGGACACATACAGAGGAGAAAGGCCTAAGCTCTTTACCTCTTGCCAAAGGCTTTTGCCTTTACCACAGAAAGCTCAGCAGTGCTCTCATTAGAGGAAGCCATACAGCATGCCGTGGGAGGCCTGGGATGGCTGAGAGGATACAGGCCAGTGCTGAAGATACCAAGAACCACATCCCTACTTTCTGGATAAATTCACATTCTAGAGTAGGGTATTCAAATAAGAATAGGGCTTTGTACACAGGGAAAACATTCAAAAATATTTATTAAAAAAAAGATCATTTTTACCTCTTAAACAACACTTGCTTTTTTGGTTTCAGAAATCACTTCTGAGATTCCCGTATGTATGTACCACATTTTATGTTATATGGAGGGGCGAGGGGGGAAGGGGAGGGAAGTCAAAGGGAAGAGGCATTGACTCAGATAATAAATGTTTCCAGCTTCCGACAGTTGGTGCCTCAGACTGAGATATCACTGTGGACATGGCCTGCTCCTGTTCAAAGTCACGTATCATCAACATCAGCAGCGTTGTCATTATCACTTGCCACAAGGACCTCTCTGTTCTCGTATGTCCAGAACCCATTCAGATCAATTAGAATGCTGGTAACAGTGTCTCCTTGACTGCTATTGATTAAGTCTTGAAGGGAGATTTTGTAAGGATCCTTAGGCTTCACCATATCAAAGATTTCATCCTATGAAAGAAAAGTCAAAATTGGGGACACCCCCCCCCCCACACACACACACACATTAATAAGCTGAATAATGTCTACTTTATACCACATACAGAATGATCTTTGGGTAACTTGTACCACCCACACCGGTTTACAAAAAAAAGCTGTTAAGTCCCAACCCATTTAAGATACAAAGCACAATCACTGGCTACAGATAGGAGCAGTGTCCTCAGCTCCCACATCCCAAATAAGAATTTGCTTTTCTGGGGAGGCTTTGGCTTCAAGGTAGCAACATGAAACTCAGTTTGCTTGTATGAGCGAAGTTTTATAAAAGCTCTTTTTTTTTTTTTTTAAGTACTAAAACTGCTAAACGTAAAGCAGGCAGTAATAAAGAGAGTTTTATAGACAGGTCCTTCTAGTCACTAGTCCACCCCCCACCCAAAGGGATGATCCTGAACCATAAAACAGACGTACCAAGTATCTTCCAGTGTAAGCCACAGCAGCATGTATTTAACAGGTACTTTGTCTATTAATAAGGAAACTACTACATGAGTTGCATACCAGACTTCTTACAGAGCAGCTGCTGCACAGAAAGACATTTTCAAACCTATGAGTAGGACAAGTCAGATCACCTCTATGACTCTGCAAGTAAATATACAACCACCTAGAAACCACGATATAACAGAAGTAAATTATGAAACGCTTGTTCAAGTATTTCACATAGTACTCTACTCAGTAAAACTAACCTTGACATCCTGAAAAGAAACTGGTTCTTGTCCATGGATTTTCATTTGTTCCTGAATAGCCTAGGGAAAAAAAAAGTTAGGAATAGGTAGTACAGTATTATACTGGCACTGTATGAAACTTTTTCAATGCTTCTGCACCTTAAGCTGCATGGCCCTGTGACAAAGCATTCATACAGCTTGCCATCGATTCTCTTCCACAGGTGAGGCAGGGGTGAGTTAAGGCATAATCAAAGATACACATCTCTAAGTTCGCAGTCCTTACTCAATGTGATAAGAATCCAACTTTCATTATGACCAGTGTTTGAGTACTCTGCAAATGGGATATGCAGACATGTGAATATTATCACTCAAAGCCTGAGACAGTAATCTGCTCAAACGAGAAGGTTCA